TTATAATCAATTTTATTTAGATGCTCATGCAGTTGTATTTTATAATCTTAATTTTTCTGAATTTTTGAATATGTATTATTTCTTATTAAAAAAAAATGTACATAATGTGTGCGTGTGTGTAATAGGCAAGTATTATTTTATAAGAAAATTCAGTGAATCTTTCTTATAACAAATTTCCAACCAACAATATTTTGTAATAAAATATTTTTAAACTAAAGAAGAACTCATTCATTTAACTCATATTCATTGAAAAAACAATATTTTTATTTGATACTTAAACTTTGAATTTATTTTCAGTGTTACCTGAAATGCCATTGCCTTCACCTATGCCTCAAACATTAGGTAATAAATCTTTACTATTTCATCCCCGTGTAGCTGAAGAAGCAGATATTTTACTTAGCCTTCGAGATGATGCTTTGGTACCACAACTAATTCAATCTTTAATAAATACCTCGTCGGACCATATGTATGTATTAAATAATATATATATATATATATATATTGTATATTAATACATAATAAGTATATTTATATTAATGATGTTTTTATAGACAATTGAAAGATAAATATATGTACACAGAACATTATAACAATCAACAAAACATACCTGAACTTCTTAAAGCAATATTACATCAAAATGCTAATGTTTTTAGAGGACCACCACCAATATTTCAACAACAGCAAGGTAATAAAAATAAATTTAAATAAAATATACAATATTTACTATTGGTAMATTGCTTCCCTACTGTACATTTTATTTTTATTTTTGAATTATCTTATCTTTTTGAATACAATTGATCTTTTAAATAAATGTTCAGTAATAAATATGTTTAGTTCTCGTTAATTACCTGCCACTTAAGCAAACATCCAGATCTTAGATCTTTGGATTTAAATTAGTTGATCAAAATTATTTTTATTTGGTGAGGGAACTGATTTTATGTATAATAATTTCTTTATTTAAATATTTGTTAAAATGCCCATGTTTCGCCAAAATAATTGAACCTTGTAATTGAAATAATTCTTATTCATAGCATTCCGCATAAAACTCCCTGAAGACTTTGTTTAAACTAATTACATGTTATGTTTAATTCTACGATTTCAGAATGTACTAGAACTATTGTATAACAATATTTTAAGATTTCCAATTTTGTATTAAATATTTTATCCTAATATTTGATACTATTGTATTATTATATTATACTTTTTRTTTTTTATATACAAATATACTTTTGTATTTCATTAGTTATAATATTCACAGAATATATAGTCTTTTAATATGCAAAGAATTAAAAATAAACCTAATTAAATATATAAGGTTACAAAAAAATCGAGTTTTTTGTTATAATAATTTATTTTAGGGGGTGTAGTGGCTGGGTGGATTAAGGCGTCGGTTTTGACGTGCACCGTTGCCAGTTCGAATCCTGGTCATGGGCGGCATCGCTTTCGGCAGTTCATGCTGTCTGGAAAGAGAGGCCGCCGCCCCCCGCCTGGGCATGGCAGAAACCTACGGGTGCCCATTCGAAATTCTGCCAAAACATCCACGAGTACCAAAACCAACAGTTTCCTCTCCCACAGTTCCACAGGCTAATGGCTCTTATTTTTATTTTATGATATAATTTTTTAATTTGTTCAAATCTGAATTGTTTTCAGAGAAAGAAAAAAATATTGAAACCAAAASTGTACATCAACTTCACGAAATAAATAGTTTTGAGACAGCATTGATTGATCAACATGATTTGTCACATAATGAACTATTAGAGAATTCTGAGATATTGAATGAGCTTCCTTCTCAACAACAACAACAACCTGTCATAGTTAGAACACCTCCTGAAAAATTATCTAGATTGATGTTAGATGATGAAGATGGTAAATTAATTTTTATATTTTTCTTTTTCTTAGATATTGGGTTAATTTTTAATTTTTTATGTACAGATAAAATACTAGGGGATGCTGAGATTACAGAAAATGATAAAATAAATGTTCAAAACTTGGAGCGTCAATTTTCTCAAATAACAAATAATTATGATGTTTTCTTAAATCAACCAACAATTTCATTAACTCGAATTGATCTTAGTCAACATGGTATTTATTTGTAATGCTATACTTTAAGGCACATTTTAACTAAAATATTTTTAAATTATTTATTTTAGTTGTGAGCAAAAAAAATATGTTAAACATGGAAGAATTGACAGAAGATAATGATTTTGGGTTAGCTCTTGCTGAGAGACCATCAATTTCAAATCAAGGTTACACTCTTTTTTTAAATAATTTAAAACTTTATTTACATACACAATGGAATCTATAAATTGTTCAAGGCATTTTGATTTTTTCTT